AAACGAAAACACGAAATTTTCCGATAAATAGTAAATATTTTATTTAGCATCTTCTGTGTTGTTTAAAAATACCAAAACACACTCCAAATTTATATATATATATATATATATATTCTAAACTGATATTCATGGTACATGGACAGAATTTATAAGTTTTCAATGATTAATTTATTTAACATTCATATACAACTTAATATGTAGATTAACCCCCATAAAAATTCTATTTTCTGGAGAAACAGAAACATTTAAGGTCCCCAACCTATTTCATTTTCATACTATGTCGGTGTATGATGCAGCTATGCATTAAAACAAAAATTCCATTTTTTTATATTTTTTCTTGAAATATGTAGGTTAACCCTTACGAAAAAACTGAATTTTTTGATAAATACTATTTAGCATCTTACGTGTTGTTTAAAAATACCCAACCACACTCCAAATTTATATATATGATTTCTAAACTTATATTCAAGGTACATAGGCAGATTTTATAATTTTCCTATGATTAATTTTATAAAATTCATATAACACCTAATATGTGGATTAACCCCTATAAAAACTCTATTTTCTGAAGAAACAAAAACATTTAATGTCTCAAACCTAGTTAATCTTCATAATATGTCGGTGTATGATGCAGCTTTGCATTAAAACAAAAGTACCATATTTTATAATTTATTTTAAAATAAGTGATTTAACCCTATGATAAAACGAAATTTTCTGATAAATAGTATATATTTTATTTAGCACCTTCTGCGTTGTTTGAAAATAACAATCCAAACTCCAAATTTATATTTATATATTTTATAAACTTATATTCATGGTACAAGGGCAGCATTTATAAGTTTCCAATGATTAATATATCTAACATTCATATACCACTTAATATGTGGATTAACCCCTATAAAAATTCTATTTTCTGGAGAAACAAAAACTTTTAAGGACCCAAACCTATTTCATTTTCATACTATGTCGGTGTATGATGCAGCTATGCATTAAAACAAAAATTCCATTTTTTATATTTTTTCTTAAAATATGTGGGTACCCCTACTAAAAACTGAATTTTCCGATAATTACTATTTAGCATCTTACGTGTTGTTTAAAAATACCCAACCACACTTAATATTTATATATATGTTTTCTTAACTTATATTCAAGGTACATGGGCAGATTTCTAATTTTCCTATGATTAATTTTTATAAAATTCATATAACACCTAATATGTGGATTAACCCCTATAAAAACTCTATTTTCTGAAGAAACGGAAACATTTAAGGTCTCAAACCTATTTAATCTTCATACTATGTCGGTGTATGGTGCAGATATGCATTAAAAATACCATATTTTATAATTTATTTTGAATTATATGTGTTAACCCCTACGAAAACACAAAATATTTCGATAAATAGTCTATATTTTATTTAGCATCTTCTGTGTTGTTTAAAAATACCAAACCACACTCCAAATTTTTATATATATTTTCTATACTTATATTCATGGTACATGAGCAGGATTTATAAATTTTTAATGATTAATTTATCTAACATTTATATACCACTTAATATGTGAATTAACCCTTATAAAAATTCCTATTTTCTGAAGAAACAGAAACATTTAAGGTCCCAAACCTATTTCATTTTCATAGTATGTCGGTGTATGATGCAGCTATGCATTAAACCAAAAATTCCATTTTTTATAATTTTTCTTGAAATATGTGGGTTAACCCATACGAAAAAAAACTGAATTTTCCGATAAATAATATTTAGCATCTTACGTGTTGTTTAAAAATATCCAACCACACTCCAAATTTATATATATGTTTTCTAAACTTATATTCAAGGTACATGGGCAGCATTTATAAATTTAACTAGATTTTGAACCCGCACATCCGTGCGGGTAATTTTTTATTTTATAAAAATATAACAAAATCTTTCAAATATATGATTTACATTTTATTGTTATATATTCTATAACTTTATAATCTTATTATTTAAATTATTTTTATATAATATATTGTTGTAATTTTTAAAAAAATCATATATATATATATATATATATATATATTAGATAATGTATTTGTTGTGAGTTACAAAAATATATGTTAACATTTTTTGTATAAAAATATTACATGTTTTAAAAAAATTAATATGTTTTAACAGTGAATAAAAGAAATCTTTAAAATAAAATATTTGTATTTACCAATTTAATATACTTTTACATTCATTTCACATAGAATTTTTATTTTAATATAAAATAGAATATCATTAAATTATAAAATATACCAATTTTTATTTTTAGTTAACATTAATATATATATATATATATATATATATATATATTAATCACGAAATTATATAATATATATTTTATAAAAATATTTAAAATTCTTGGTAAGATCATGTTAGATATTTTCTCAACAGATTTTGTTATAAATAAAATTAAAATATAAATTTATATTCAAATTGATTTATTACTAATATCTTATCTTCTATATTAAATAAAAATAACAGTAATACATGTTTGATTGATTAATATAAATAATCAAATATGTCCTATTAATGAAATGGTCCAAAATGACTTTTGTGTAGTAGATATAAATGATACTTCTCTTTTAATATAGAAGATGCTGTTTTATAAATTTTCAAAATAGTTTAAAAACTGAAATATTAAATCAAACTAATTAGACCCTTTTAAGGTTGATATCGGTGAAAACCCGACTGTAGTTTTTACTTGTTAAAATTTGATATTCTTATCTTTACTTTTTTCCTATAATTTTATTTTAGCCCAAATATTTTAGATATATGGGACAAAATTTAGAGATTATCCAACTGATTTTAAAATTTTCCTATAAACGTTTATAAATAACAATATATAGATAATTCAAAAATATTATTTGAATCTGAGGAACCTAAAAACCCTAGAAAGTGGTTGAAAACACTAATAAATCTTCATTGCCAAAACCCCAAGGAGCAGATATTTCCCTATTATTTTAGCAGTTTGAATATTAATTATATTTTAAAGTTTAGTCGATTAGTACGATGTTATAATCAGGAAGCTAGTACGGTAGTATCACACTTGTGGTACCCGTGGAATAAGAGATTATTTCTCATAATTATAAAGCTTTTTAGTTTAAGTTATAGTTAGTAGGTTCAACTCAAAATCAGTACCATGAGAGCTGCGTTTCCCTCAGGCCTAATTATTGAGAAACGTACAAAGCTTTTCAGATAATAACTCTTCTAAAACGCGTAGATTAATGTAACACTAGATCACAACCCGCCCGACTGGGCGGGTCTTTGTTTTTATGGTATATATAAATATTTTTTAAATTACAATCTTACGGTTCTAATTTTACTAAGTAATAGTATTTTGTTTAAACATTGTATTTCATCACTGTATTGTGTAACAGGACGTCGGTAAAATGTTGTGATCCGTAAATATTTTAATAATATTTTATAAATTTTTTTTTTTTACTAAATTTGGTGCAAAGTTATAAACACTAAACAATTTAGTTAAATTTTTAAGTTCATTTTTTAATGAAGAATTGGAAGGCTAGTATATTACTGTTAAAAACTTATAACAACAGTCAATATAAATTATATAAATAAAATATATACTATATTTGATTTATTCCAAATACATTTAAAACATGAGTACATATATTTATAAATAATTTTTAGAAATAAAGTAATATCAATGATAGAAAACCCAAAAACAATAATAATGATATTTGGGCCGCAGTAATTTTTAGTTTAATAAGTAAGCCCATTAGATTTGTAGGCTATCCTTGTTTCCAATCATCATAATTCTAAATACTTCATATTCATGTTTCCAAATACTTAATTTTTTGTACTTCAGCTTTAATAGTATAGATTTAATTAAGATGCAATTCTCACACATAATGAAATGCAGGATCTTATACATCTGACAACAACAACAAAATGATATAGACTCGTGCCAGACCAAAAACTAAACAAGTGAACGTTTATATTATTTATAAAATCCAGATCTAAGTCATCAAAAGTTTCTTAATGAAATGGTTCTTTTTGTCTTAAGTAGGTCAATGATATTTTTCTTTCTTTGGAATATTATTGGTTCAAAAAAGTGGTAGCTATTTTATCTTCTTTTCCGGTTTGTGATAAAAGAGCTATAAAGGAAATAGAAGACAAACAAATAATACTAGAAGACACTCTTTCAAAACGAATGACGAAAACAAGAACGAGCTTTTGGAAGAGAATCAGCAAGCCCTTCATTTTTTTTTTCTTTTTACTTTTAACAAGTCTTTATGTTTCAGAATAAAAATAAGCATCAATAGACTGAGTTATTATATTGGCCCGATGTATAACCGACTTTTTCCAATATGTGTGGGTGTTCTTGAGAAATCCCGTTATACATATTGATTTACATACATGTACATGTTTAGCCGAATAGAGTATTGTAAATACTATAGATTATTACAAGCTGAATATTAATTTGTACAAAATGATTCAACCATCTTGGTCTTTTGGAAGAGAATTTGCAAGCATATTCATTTTTATACTTTTAACAAGTCTTTAAGTTTCAGAATAAAATAAGCACATACTGTTATTATTTTGACAAAAAATATTGTGTGATTATATTGATCCACTTCATAACCGACTTTTTCCAATATGTGGGGGTTTTCTTGAAAAAGCCCGTTATACATATTGAATTACATGTTCAACCGAATATAGTATATATTATAAATTATTACAAGCTGAATTTTAGTTGGTACAAATTAAACTGATTCAACAATCTTTATTTAGTAACAAATAAATATACGACACTATACACAAATGTCGTTATAGTTTAGTTTTAATAAAATTAACGAAAAACTATATAACTAACTATAGCGTGGTTGATGAATAGCAGCACTACTAAACTCGAGAGAGCAACGAATCTTCCTGGAATTTTCGAGGTTGCTTCGTCATTGCTTTCATCACTATATAATCAAATCCATCATTTGCGATCTCCTATCTCTCTCTCTCACACACAAACAAAAATCATTTTCTTTCACTAAAACTTCCAAGTGATCAGTGGAGATGCGAAACATTCTTAATTTGCGTGGGATTAGTGGGCACAATCGTTTAAAAGCTCATAGATCCACATTTAAGAAGTGGGTTTCTTCTATATATATATATATATATCTTTACAAGACAACCTTTTTTCTTTCTTTTATGTTTAATTTTTTGAGTTTGTTTTTGTCATGTATAAATCACAGTGTTGTGAAGAAAATTGTGAGAGACCTGCCGAATCATCGACTCATGGTTTTGATGGAGCCCCTGCTCAGAAACATTGTGAGTTTTCTCGTCCTTATTCAATTAATCAACTCACTGGCGCATAAACCACAAAAATTAATTAATAATCATATGATTAATCACGGAGTTGGTTAAATGAAACTGTTCCTACATAGCCACCGGCTTTGACTGACTTCGTCTTCTCTTCGGTCTCGTTTTTTATTTCTGTGGTTTTAAACCTTGTGGGCTCCGTATCAACAATGAATGGTCCTGAATCTAGTTATTATATAGCACTATATCGTTATAAACATATAACTAAATGTAGTCTTAGTGATCTAATTGTATGCATATAAACTATACAAGTGTGTTTAACTGTTTATTTAGTTTGTTTGCACATGAACGTACGTGATCGTATGTACTTGTTTGCAACTTGCGAACATGTGCGTAGTTATATAATTATTCGATGAAATATGTATAAAGTAATGATTAATTATCTTGTCTTTTATGATCATATAGGTTCGAGAGGAGCTTGATCGTTATAGTCAACGACATCATCATCTCTCTTCGTCAACGTGGTCCCAAATCGAGCGGTTGCGCTCTGAAACGCAGTCGTCGCGTTCAGGACACAAGCTGCGGTTCATAAACTCGCCACAGTCTTGCATATTCACTGGAGCCAAGATCGAAACCGAGGACGGTTTTCCTGTAGCGATCGAGCTCGTGGATGCAGCCACGAACGCTAGAGTCGTTTCGGGACCGCTCTCATCTTCTCGGGTCGAGATCGTGCCGCTGGACGCTGACTTCACGGAGGAAAGCTGGACCGCTGACGTATTCGAACGATATATCTTCAAGCAACGTCAAAGCAGACGTCCGTTACTCATCGGAGATGTAACTGTCACGCTTCAAAACGGCGTCGGAGTGATAGCCGGAGATGTGGCTTTCTCGGATAACTCGAGTTGGACAAGGAGTAGGAAGTTCCGGTTAGGTGGTAGGTTAACCGGTGGTGGAGCCGTGGAGGCAAAAAGTGTAGCCTTTACGTGTAAAGACCACCGTGGAGTATGTAAGTAAACGGTTACTGCGTTTGGTTAGTGCGTTTAGGTTAAATAATTCTTTTTGACCAAAAAAAAAAAAAATATATATATATATATATATATATATATATATATATCTAAAGGTTAAATAATTTTAATTTTTGGTTATGTGCAGCTTATAGAAAACATCACCCTCCGTATCCCGTTGACGACGTTTGGAGACTGGAGAAAATAGCTAAAGGTGGCGTTGCAGCGAAGCGTTTGGCTGACCACAAGATCTATACCGTCAAGGATTTACGCCGTTGGTATGCGGTTAATCCAAATGAGTTATACAACGTAAGATCATAAACCTAAAGTAATCTAATAGAGTCATTATTTTTATCTACTACAAAGCTGTCATATATAGAATCATTTCATTAATTACTTAGTATGACATATTAAATTATTTAGGTTAATCAATCAAATATATATCATATATGCTGAAAATAATATATTTACATTTTATTTTTAGTTATAACAGAATCGGTTGAGAGAAAATCTAACAAAATCTTACTAAAAGTTTAAATATTTTTATTAAATAACATAATAATGAATTTCGTAATTAATAATATCATACTATTATACATTAATATGAATTAAGATTTCACTATAATAACAAAAAAAAAGAATCCTATACTATTTTATAAATTTCATATTATAGTCTATGTTATATTAAAATAGAATTGCACTATGAATTAAATAAGGTAAATAAAGTTGGTAAATGAAACTTTTAAAAAAAAATTATTTCACTTAAATAAGATAATTTTTCACCATTAAAAGGATTAACATCATAAATTATGTATATTTTTTATACAAAAATGTTAGCATAATGTTAAATTTTTACTATATTTGATTTTTTTCTTAATTTAAAACTAACAAAAACATATTATCTAAAATGATTATATAAAAAATATAATAGTATATAACTAACTTTTAGTTCATGATTTATTCAAAAAAGATGAGGATATCATAAAGTTTTACTAATTCAGAAGATATTAGTGAAAAATATTTTTAACTGAAAATTTAATATTTTTTAATTATAAAATAATATGTTGAGAAAATATAAAAATATAGAAAAAATTTCTATTAATAATGTTGAATAACAAAATAAAAAATTAAAGAATATTATAGATTAATAATGTTGAATAAAAACCTACACCAACTATATTATAAATTTATACAATATATAACATAAAAATATAAGTTATATATTTAAAACAATTACACTAATATTATATTTTTTTTAAATGAAAAATATACCCGCACGAACGTGCGGGTAAAAACTCTAGTTTAGAGCTAAATGGTAACCTTCAAATGGAATTAAGTGAATAAAAATAGATGAAATAAGATACATAAATATGTGAAAAATGAAATATATCAAAACTGTAGAGAAATGTTTAGAATTTGAACTTTTGTTTTTGTTTTTTTCTACAACTGTTGTGGAATTGATGAAATGAATATTCAATTCAAGTTAGATGGTAAATAATTTTTTTATAGAATAAATGGAATAAGGCTCCCACATAGTTTTATTTACAACTCAGTTGCAGTCTAGATGAATCTTTAAAGAAACTAAATAACCTAGGCTGTTTCTGTTTAAGCAGATACTTGGTGGAGACAAGAACTCAGGAGGGATCTCAAAGAGAACATGGGAGATAATTGTATCCCATGCAATGAAATGCGTTTTGGACGAGACAGAGCGTTACATCTACACAGGAACCTCTCATGACGAATCACTTATTTTCAACTCTGTCTATGAAGTGATCAAAGTGTGCTTAAGTGATGGCACGTTTCGAAACCCTGATGAGGTACCCACCTATAAGCTGAACGAGTTGAAGAAAGAAGCTTATACAAACCTTAACTGCTTACGAACCTTTACGGAACATCCACAAAGGTCCTTGCAATACACGCAAAATCCTGGATTTGGAATCGCATGTCCTGGGTTGCAGCACAACAACTTTCAAGGTATACAAGTTTATTCTGGTCACAACATTATTTCTCGAATAATTTAACAGATATATATATCTTATTACAGACTTGTTAAATTATTCGAGAAATATTCTATGATAGTACTAAAACATTTATTTTTTATTTTTGTCACGTTATAAGGTCTTTGGATATGTTACATGTATATCTAATAATAGAGACTTGCTAAATAATTCGATATACTTTCTTGAATGCTTAGGAACATCTGACCCATCAGGCTCTTTGAGTTCTCTTTACTTCACAGCTGCAAACTCCACCGTCCAACCAGAGATGCTAATGAGTTTTGGAAACTCACCAGCCACGACGTTTCATGTCGACAGAAATTTCTTACAGAGAAACAGCTTCAAGATAAGTGAACACGACCCGGTGCACAGTGAAACTCAAACTTTAACGACAATAGGTTATGTCGAGAATGCTGAGGATGGTCACGATAACACTTTTCCTTATAATAACCAACATGATATGTCCTCTAACCTTTCACCTGGTGCGGCGGATTGGGAGCAACAAGCGTTTAACAGTTTGTATGTTAGCGTGTTTGGCACGGAAGAAGCGGGAACTTTTAATGTTCGTCTTGCAAACACTGTGGGGTCTCCAAGAGCCAGGTGGTGTAAGGTTAAGGCAGCTTTCAAGATACGAGAAGTCTGGAGACAGACAGCTGCTAGAAAGGAAGGCTTGTAAGAACCTTTACATGGCGTTCTAGGTTCAACGGTTTCGATTCTTGCAGTGCACGAAAGATGCATATATATTGTGTGCGGGTTTTTTTTCTCAGCTCATGTTTGATACTTTCTATATATGAACGAATAATTTAATTACATTTTTTATATTTTTTGTATTTGTTTTCTTCTCAGTTGAAATGCTTTTATAGCAAAGAGTTTGTAAGTTGTAGTCTTTACATGCTATACTTGATTCCTTGCTTTCTTGTGATGCACGAAAGCTAGTTATAGGCAGATTATGGTTTCCCCTCTTTGCCGGCACCATATTTTATTTAAAAAAATTTTTTTTAAATTTTTTTTTCCAGAAAAACTTGTTCTATGCCTACATTAAATTGCTGTTCTAAGAATTGTTTTGAGACTATCCTCCCACAAGGCATCGCTATCCTTTTAGATATGCCGAAAAATTATATGTAACTTTCATCCATTTTAAAACTCTATTCAAACAAGTATAAAAAAAAGACAGCGTTACAAGATATACCAAATCAACCAATACTATGAGTTTTCATAACATAATCAACTTTCAAAACAAACCATATATATCTCCACTTGTTTATCTAATAAAGAGTTGATTTCACTTTGCTAGAACTTATTAGAAATAATAAGTTGGGTTTGGACAGACTATTGTATTTGCTTTTTCCCTTTATAATATGTGTACTTTTGATTAAGAAGACTATTGGCTTCCTAATCACAAAAAGTCTATGAATAAGTGAAAACATTGCTGGCTTTTGCTTCATCACTTTTTCTGTGTTCTGTCTTCATGTGAACACATTTTCAGAATCTGTGATTCGTCTACTTTGTTTTCTCTAACACACACAATTATTAAAACAATTCCACAGATCCCGGTCGTGCGTACACCACTTGGCTTTCCACCCGTGACACGACAATGATTTGGCAGATGTTTTGTTTTATGTCATCAATGTACCAGAAAGCCATAATCATTATTGATCAAAAGACCAGCCAAGAAAGAGTTTATAAGGAGATCTTCAAACCTTTCTTGATGACTAACTCATACCAGAAAACTAAAGCAATCTTCTCACAGCTTCTCCATACCAATCCTCTAGGGTTTACTGTAGTGATCAGAGCCCTTACAAAGGTTGGTTTCTATAATTTGAGGGATCATTGAGAAGCTATGGTCTTGCTCATCCTCTAACGTGTCAATGTTTCTCTTCTAAATTTTACTAGAGAAATGGAAAAAGAGAAGGAGACAGTTAGGTGTTGCAGTGATTGCAAGACCATCAAGACACCAATGTGGAGAGGTGGACCATCTGGTCCCAAGGTCTCTTCTTCTACCTTCAACTACTAAACTTACAACATTATTTGATCTTTAAGTAAAAAATTAGATAATTTAAGAAGTGTTCTTAAGTTGTTTTTATGTGTGGTGGAATCCGTAGTCACTTTGCAATGCATGTGGGATCAGATTCATGAGACAGAGACGATCTGAATTATTGGGTATTCGTTTTATTCATAGCCACAAAGCCTACAAGAAGATAAACAGAACATCAACATCGTCATTACACAGTGGCGTGGCTTTGAAGAAACGACGGAGGAGTCTGAAGGAGGAAGAACAAGCTGCCGTTTGTCTATTATTATTATCTTGTAGCTCTGTTTACGCATAGAATTCATATCTGGTTACAAATGGGTCTTAATGGTCAGAGAACTCGTGTACGGGTTAGCCGAACCAAACTGATAGCCCATGTACCTTGAAAATAAAATTAGGAAACATTAGTATAAATTTTTAATGAGGTTAGATATTTTAAACCACACTAAAGAGACTAAACTTAAGTATAAATAGTATTTATAGGAAAAAATCGATTTCTTTGTAGGGGTTAACCTAAAAATTTCAAGATAAATTAGAAAATATGGAATTTTTAATTTATGCATAAATTCATCCAGTCCTGATATATGATGAATATCAAATAGTTTTGATACCTTAGTCGTCCATCACTAGAAAATAGAGATTTTATAGGGTTTAGTTTATTAATTTTGGTGGTATATGGAGTTTTATTAAATTCATTAGTTGAAAATTAGAACTGATTCTCATGTACCATGAACATAATTTTAGTACATACATTAATATAAATTTTAAACGTGGTTAGGTATTTTTAAACAAAACTAAAAAGGTCTATATATAACATTTATGGAAAACTCGATTTTTATAGGGGTTAACCCATATATTTCAAGATAAATTAGAAAATATGGTATTTTTATTTTAATGAATTGTTTCATCATGCACTGACATAGTATGGAGAATAAAGATGATTGAGACCTTAGGTGTTCTCGTTTCTCAAGAAAATAAAGTTTTTATAGGGGTTAGTCCACTTATTAGACATAATATGAAGTTTAAACAAATTATTCACTGGGAAATTAGAAATGATGCCCATATACCATGAAAATAAGTTTAGCATACATATATATAAATTTGGAGTGTGCTTATATATTTTAAACAACACTAAAGAGGCTAAATAGTATAGATATTATTCATCGGAAAATTTAATCTTTTCATAGGGGTTAACCCACATATTTCAAGATAAATTAGAAAATATAGTATATTTATTTTAATGCATAGCTGCATCATGAACTGACATAGTATGAGGATTAAAGAGGTTTTAGACCTTACGAGTTTCTATTACTCAAGAAAATAGAAATTTTATTGGGATTAGTACCCTAATTAGGTCGTATATGAAGTTTAAAAAAGTATTCGATGGAAAAATAGAAATGATGTCCATGTACTATTAAAATATGTTTAGAATACAATAATATACATTTAGAGTGTGGTTTGATATTTTAAAATAAACATTAATGAGGCTAAACTTTAGTATATATAGAATTTATTGGAAAAAACCCGATATTTTCGTAAGATAAATTAGAAAATATGATATTTTATTTTAATGCATAACTTCATCATGCAATGACATGTGATGAAAATTAAAGAGGTTTGAGACCCTAATTGTCCTTGTTTCTCCAGAAATTACAGATTTTATTGGGGTAAGTCTACTGAATTAGGTAAAATATGAAATAGGTGAAAAATCCTATTTTCTGGAGAAACATAAACATTTTAGGTCCAAAACTATTTCATTTTCATACTATGTCAGTGTATGATGCAGCTATGCATTAAAACAAAAATTCCGTTTTTTATAATTTTTCTTGAAACATGTGGGTTAACCCCTACGAAAAAACTGAATTTTCTGATAAATACTATTTAACATCTTACGTGTCGTTTAAAAATACCTAAAAACACTCCAAATTTATATATATGTTTTCTAAACTTATATTCAAGCTATATGGGAATATTTTATAATTTTCCTATGATTAATTTATATAAAATTCATATAAGACCTAATATGTGAATTAACCCCTATAAAAACTCTATTTTCTTAAGAAACGGAAACATTTAAGGTCTCAAAACTATTTAATCTTCATACAATGTCGGTGTATGATGCAGCTGTGAATTAAACAAAAATACCATATTTTATAATTTATTTTGAAATATGTCGGTTAACCCAAACGAAAACACGAAATTTTCTGATAAATAGTAAATATTTTATTTAGTATCTTCTGTGTTGTTTAAAAATACCAAAACACACTCCAAATTTATATATATATATATATATATATATATATATATATATATATATATATATATATATATATATATATATATATATATATTCTAAACTGATATTCATGGTACATGGACAGAATTTATAAGTTTCCAATGATTAATTTATTTAACATTCATATACAACTTAATATGTAGATTAACCCCCATAAAAATCCTATTTTCTGGAGAAACAGAAACATTTAAGGTCCCCAACCTATTTCATTTTCATACTATGTCGGTGTATGATGCAGATATGCATTAAAACAAAAATTCCATTTTTTAATATTTTTTCTTGAAATATGTAGGTTAACCCTTACGAAAAAACTGATTTTTTTGATAAATACTATTTAGCATCTTACGTGTTGTTTAAAAATACCCAACCACACTCCAAATTTATATATATGATTTCTAAACTTATATTCAAGGTATATGGGCAGATTTTATAATTTTCCTATGATTAATTTTATAAAATTCATATAACACCTACTATGTGGATTAACCCCTATAAAAACTCTATTTTCTGAAGAAACGGAAACATTTAAGGTCTCAAACCTAGTTAATCTTCATACTATGTCGGTGTATGATGCAGCTATGCATTAATACAAAAGTACCATATTTTATAATTTATTTTAAAATAAGTGAGTTAACCCTACGAAAAAACGAAATTTTCTGATAAATAGTATATATTTATTTAGCATCTTCTGCGTTGTTTGAAAATAAAAATCCAAACTCCAAATTTATATTTATATATTTTATAAACTTATATTCATGGTACACGGGCAGCATTTATAAGTTTTCAATGATTAATATATTTAACATTCATATACCACTTAATATGTGGATTAACCCCTATAAAAATTATATTTTCTGGAGAAACAGAAATATTTAAGGACCCAAACCTATTTCATTTTCATACTATGTCGGTGTATGATGCAGCTATGCATTAAAACAAAAATTCCATTTTTTATATTTTTTTTGAAATATGTGGGTTAACCCCTACTAAAAACTGAATTTTCCGATAATTACTATTTAGCATCTTACGTGTTGTTTAAAAATACCCAACCACACTTAATATTTATATATATGTTTTCTTAACTTATATTCAAGGTACATGGGCTGATTTCTAATTTTCCTATGATTAATTTTTATAAAATTCATATAACACCTAATAGGTGGATTAGCCCTATAAAAACTCTATTTTCTGAAGAAACGGAAACATTTAAGGTCTCAAACCTATTTAATCTTCATACTATGTCGGTGTATGGTGCAGATATGCATTAAAACAAAAATACCATATTTTATAATTTATTTTGAAATATATGGGTTAACCCCTACGAAAACACGAAATTTTTCGATAAATAGTCTATATTTTACTTAGCATCTTCTGTGTTGTTTAAAAATACCAAACCACACTCCAAATTTATATATATATTTTCTAAACTTATATTCATGCTACATGAGCAGGATTTATAAATTTTCAATGATTAATTTATCTAACATTTATATACCACTTAATATGTGAATTAACCCTTATAAAAATTCCTATTTTCTGAAGAAACAGAAACATTTAAGGTCTCAAACCTATTTCATTTTCATAGTATGTCAGTGTATGATGCATCTATGCATTAAACCAAAAATTCCATTTTTTTATAATTTT